GTAGCTGAAAGATGCTTACAGTGGGAGCGGGGTAGGTCTCTTCTCACTGGTGATAGATGACAAGACAAGGGGAAACGGCCTCAAGTTGCACCAAGATAAGTTTAGGTTGGACATTAGGAAACACTCCTTTACAGAAAGGGTGGTTAAACACTGGAATAGGCTCCCCAGAGAGGTGGTTGAGTCACCATCCCTGAATGTGTTTAAGAGCCGTTTGGATGTGGTGCTTGGAGATATGATTTAGCAGAGGGTTGTTAGAGTTCGGGTACTATGGTTAGGCGGTGGTTGGACTTGATGATCCTTGAGGTCCCTTCCAACCTGAGTAATTCTATGATTCTATGATAAGAACTTCATGGTATAATAAATAATATGAAGAAAACAGTGCAAAAAAAGACCTTTTAGCCAAATTTCAATTGATACTTAAGTATGGTTTGTAGGAAAAGTTCCCTTGAATTGCATTTCTATATGAATATTATGAAGCCATCTTTTCTTGGCCATTTTTATTCTGAGCCACATACAGATTCAGAAGAGAACCCCAGACTGATGATTATGTTTATTCAGTCTGGATACTCTTCAGACTCAAAGCCTCTACAGTGATGGAGTTATTTAGAAATACAAAGTCACATACCCCAAAAAGTCTTTGTATAGGTAGAGATATGCCTTAACACAAAGAAAGATAAAACTAAAGAAAAGCCTATCTGCTTTTTAGCATCTATTTTTAGTCACCATTGATTTTCTAGAAATTCTTACTTCATCATTAGTATGATCTGTGTAAAACTGATTGCTCCTACTGGAATTCAACTGTTCACTATCATTCCAGAGGAATAAAGGGCCAAGGCTCCCCAGAGGCCCAATGAAACTTTTCCAGTCTTCCAGGTGTTTCATACATTCTGATGTGCACACACACAGATACTTCCTAGACTACCTTTACTTTACATTTACAGACACCTAGTGGAATGTCTGATTTGCTCTGGAGGACAGCAAGAACTTGATAGAGAACAAACTTCAGTTCTTCTCACATTTAATTTTCCTCTTAAGAGACCAAAAATACAAACAACATGTGAAAAGCCTGGGATGGGGAAAAAAAAGAGCCACATTATTTCTTGATTTAAATACAATCAAGAAGAAAAAAATTATTTAAATTGTTTTTAAAATTATTTTCAATTATTTTCAATAGAACATAAAAGTAGTACCTTGCTTTCAAAAGATTTCTTTCTTCAGACCAACCAGTTTTATTCATTTTATTCACCAGATTTTTTTAACATGGTCTATCTCCTAAATACACATTTCAGGTGGGTGACATTTTCTTTGTTGTCATACATATAGTTATACAGTCATCCTTCTGCATTAGAGGTGCAGTGGAGTGCTAGTTAGCTCTTTTGTGTCAGTGGAATTATAGCGCAGAAAAAGTACCTCCTCCAGCAACAATGAAAATAAATACAATTAAAAACAAAAATAAGAAGGCAGATAAGTCTGACAACCTTAATTTGACTATATTGGGATTTAGCAGAATGTTTCGTAAACCAGACTAAAGTTATTTGCAACGTGCTGTAAGTTCCATGTGTGTTCTCTTAGTGCTTTCAAAAGTTTTCCATCTTTGGGACACTCAGTGGTCACATTTAAACCACTTGGCCTCTTCGTTTCTCTTTCCATAACTGTAATCTTTTCAACTAGCTGTGGAATTCTTGTACTCAAGAAAAGCATTTGAACTATCAGAACTACCTCCTGTACCTCTATTTAGCAAATAAGTGATTATATTTCTAGCATTCCCTTTAAAAATCCTCATTTCTAACTATCTGTAACAGCACTTTCAGCCTTCATTTCCAACATCACCTTATGCCCTAAAGACAAGCACTAATATTTCCTGCCCTTCTGAAAAAAGGAGGTACAAGTTTTTTTTTCCCCTGCTTTTCCTTGCTCAAAAGTATGTGAAAACTATGTGAAAAGCTCCCGGAAACACATATAGCTTTCATATTTGCCTTTGTTACACGATTGCACAGGATATTACAGGGAAAGGTGTGGTTCATGTCGTTCATCATGAGGAATTTTAAAGTAGGGAAAAATGGCCCCACAAATTCTTTTATGACTTACTATTAAAAAGATAAGAACTTCACATTCTTCCCTAAAGAAAACACAAAACTAAATATGTCAAGAAAACGGTTTTAAAATAGCTATGAGATGAACGAAGCAAGATGTGTACTTCTACTTAAGCCTTAATTTAAACTCCAATTTAGCATACCGAATTTTGTTTCCTCTTAGGAAAATTAGGCAGAAGTGTTTTTCTCCATCTTTTCCCCTGGCTCCCTCTAGCGTCGCAAAAAGCGTATTACAGCTCATGCTCCACCACCTCAAATGAGCAGAAGCATACATATTAACAACAACCATGGTACTACCATACTTCTGAACCTAGAGATCAAAGCATTTTTTTTTTATTTTTTTTTATTTTTTTTTTTTTGGGGGAAAAAGAAACAGCAAGATACATTTTTCAAATCTAAAGAGATGACAGGAGATTGAAATTTGCCTTGCTTTAATTCTATACTGTGACAAGTAGCAACTTCCATTGTCTGTTTATGCAATAGTAATTTGTGAAACCACATTTATTCTCATAAAAGCACTGATTTAATCAACAGCATCCTTAAGTCTCCAGGAGTGGTGAACGTACCCAGAGCTTACCTTAGCAAAACAATAGCTCAGTTGCTACAAAACTTGACATTATCATGTGAAATGCTGACATAAAACAAGTTAATACAATGAAGTCCCGCTACTTGACAACTCCGTCCTAATGCAGTCTAATCTACAACTGCTTCACCCTTTGGTGTGTGACATCTGTCAATGTTGTTAACCCCTAATTTCTCATATTCATCTCAAAAACAAGCTTTGGTTACTAAATTAGACCATATGAATACTTTAGTTCACAGAAGTTGCATTGCTGCTCATTCAAATAAAAGGGAAAGTTCTTGTAGGGAGATGAAAAGAAAGCTGGAGAAATGAATTACTGGGTTATAATAATAACAATAAATTACTGAATTATTACATGGTTTTGAATATTAAGTTCATGTACTGAAATTTGTAGTGAAAAATGCTACATACGCAATGCCAGATCATAGGAAACAGCCCCCTCCCTTTTTCCTTTTTAAATAAGATCTGTGAAGCTTCCAAAGTTTGAGGGATTTTTGTTTGTTTTTGTTGTTTTTGGTGGATTTTTTTGACTATATTTTTTTTTAAGTGCTTTTCATTCACAATTTTCAAATCTTACATTCATTATGATAAGCCTTATTTTTACAAGTTACAGTTTGGTAAAATAAGACACTAAAGTAGAAGCTAGCTGCTGGTGTTTCTGCATAGCCTGGTGCCCAAGCTTGCAACAAACATAGCATTACTGAATGAAGCACTCAGTGAACTTAAATAAGCTCTCTTCAGCAGAAGAATAAAATAAATAAATAAATAATAATTAAAAAATCACACACACAAAAAAAAAAAAAAGAGGTGAAATAAAGTGGTATGTACATCAGACAAAATTGGGAAAAGAACTGAGCTTAGAACACACAACTTCTGTAACTGTACATGAAAATGGTACTCAAGAAATAGAACTAAAAATGACTGTAGCTTTAATGCAGGAAGTTTTCTTTCGGAGCAAAAGAAACAAACCCACAATTTATCTCCTTCAGGAGAGATTCTCTCAGTGTCCATTTCATTCACTGTATGCACGCCTGTCCTTTGCACATTTTTTGACCTATTAACTGCCCTTCCCTTCTGGATCCCAACAGTTCAGAGGTCTCCTTTTCTTCAGCAGAGAAAAGTGATCTCTGTTGAGCTCAAAAGTAGGATCAGTTTTAGCCTCATTCAGAAATAGCACTCAGAAGTGTCAGCAATGACACCTGACTCATACTTCACACAAACTGGGACAAGAGTTCACATGGAAAAATGACATAAAAGTATTTCACTTTCTAAGAATAGACTACAATAAGTATGTTTTGAGTATGGCTATTACCAAAACCCAGATCAAAGCCGGAAATAAGTACTTCTGAAAGTTTTCACACAAAAAATCATGTTTAATGTTATATAACTTGTAGGGATGCAATCTAACTGAACATCTCCATTCACACCAGAGTTCTATTTTCAGGGGTAGTTTCCTTATGTGAAATTACTCAAAATGAAAAAGCATTAGAAGTTCTTCTTCTTAAAGTTGTTTGGAAGAAATAAAATACATTTCCAAGCAAACAATGAATCTTGCAAAACCTAAACTGCAGAATTAGGTGGGGGGGAGGGAAAGCACATTTTAAATTTACACAAGTTCTACAAGCTTCTTTTCTTTGTGGTTACTCACCTCTTCAATCCGCCCCTTAGATGAAGACTGCAATCACAGCAATGTATTTTGGAATATCATTCTTTATCTCAAAGCAGATACCTTAGGGAAACATCCCTAATATACGTGTGAGCTCAATAAAACAAAGATAAGAAGAATATGCATAAGGCACCATAGTAGTTACTGCATTAAAGATATGAAAACTATAGGCACTAAAAACATACTTAAACCTCTTTATACCCTCTCAGGTCTCCATACATTTTAGTGTTGTTTCAATAACCGTAAAGAAAACAAACTTCGGAAGTAGTACATCTAGAGACACAAACTTCAGTAACACTGATTCCCACAGCTTTGTTTGCAGCTGTTTGCACAGCTCCGTAAGAGCTCACAGCACAACCTCACAGCACGCACCACAGCCAGCCCATGCTGGATACTCACAGGAACAACTTCCAGGTCTCAACCACGTTGTTTACCACGCAGAACAAAAAAAAGCACACGCTTGTGAACCAACACCACGTTCATCTGCTTGCTTCCCTCCTCTTTCTCACTTTCTATTCACTTCAACCCACCTAAGCTCTCTTTAAGCCCTCGAAGCTGAGCGGCGCAGACGGCGCCCGCCCCGCGCTGCCCTCAGGCGCGGCCCCGCACACCTTTTGGAATCGCGGTCCCCCGCAGCGCCCACCTGGGAGCCCACAGCGGCCGCTCCGCGCCCCGCCCGCCCCTCACGGGACACCTGCGTCCCGCAGCCGCGAGCAGAAGCGCAATGGCTCCTTGCCCTGTGCGGCAGTTAAACATCACCCGTGCTCCATCACCGGCTGTGTGGAGCTCCGAGGGGCGGGCGCTCACCTGTCGGACCTGCCCTGGGTGGGGCGCGACCTCGCCTCATTAGCGGGGGGCGGGTAGACGGACGTGCTGTTCTGGCGTCACCCGAGTTTAATCCTACGTACTTTTTGTTTTATACATTTTTTTCTTTTTTCTTTTTTTCTTCTTGTTTTATTTCTCTTTTCTTCCTGTTCTCCATCCTTCCCCCTCGAGGTGGGGAGCTGCTGTGTGAGCGCGTCACCTCTGCATTCCGACCGAGCTGCGGGCGGAGCGAGCTGCGGGCGGTTCGGACCAGCCCTGCTCCGATCGCCGTCCCGCGCCCGACGGCGGGCGCAGAGCCGCGTGTCACCCCTCTGGAGCGGGACGTAGCCTGGCCTCGCTCCCTGCCTCTCCCCTCGGTGCTTTTCTCACTCGCGGTGCCCGGAGCGGCTCCAGGTAAGGGGTTGTGCCGGCCCAGTTCGGCTCCTGTCAGCGCATCGCGGAATGCAGCTTCCCTACGGCGCGAGGTCAGGCGCGCGCTGTGTCCGAGCCTTTGCTTCTGCAGCCCCCGCGCGGGGCTCGGGCTGGGCAGGGTGATGGCAGGGCGGGTGATGGGGGGGCAGGGCGAGCTCCGCTGTGTGCGGCCTCTGCCGTCCTTCTCCTTCCACTGGCCAGCTGGGGAACTTGCTCGAGTAGAGCTAACTTTTTCTTTTAACTGTTATTTTGTATTTGCTTTTGGCCTGTCTGCGTATCTGTCAGCAACAGCTCTATGTTTGTGTTGTATTTAGACTTTTTAATTTGTTATGTTTGATGTGGGTGTTTAGATTCCAAAATATCTAGAGGTTTTCGTACACCTTCCATATGTTGTCTCTTAGCAGTGGTTCTGGTTAGGAATTCTGCTCAGTTAATCAAGAGGGCTCAATTAGAGCCCTGTGGTCACGGTTCTTTCTTCCCTGAGTTGAGGCTGTGGGGAGGTGGGGCTCAGCCTCTGCTCCTGGGTAATGGTGATAGGATGAGAAGGCATGGCCCTAAGGAGAGGTTCAGGTTGGATATTAGGAAAAACTCAGGAAGAGTGGCTGGGCACTGAAACAGGCTGCCCAAGTTGCTATGGAGTCACTGTCCCTGGAGGCATTCAGGGAAGAGTAAATATGGCACTGAAGGGTATGGTCTCAGGCAGTCACAGGTGTGGGTTGGTTGCTGGACTGTGATCTTAGTGGTCTTTCCAGCCTTTATCATTCTATTGCATAACATAGTGGTGTTTCCTGAATATGTTTGTAACTAACAAATTGCTAATGCCTTCCTTAAGGGTACGTGAAGTTTAGGAATGCTTGTTACAGAAACTGCTGTTGGGTGAGCTGGTTCTGCTCCAAAGGTCTGTGCTGCTTTCAGGGCTGATGTGTGACAAGAGCAAGCTTAGGCACTTCAAATGTTAAAATTAGAAATATACTGTAACAAGGAGTGCAGTCTGTGCGTTGCAAAGCATTGAGTCAGATTCGGACTTTGGTTTTGCTTCATAATAAACTGTGTCTTTGTATGGGTCTGGCTGTGTGTATATTATAAATCATTCAGGGTTGTTTACACTAAACAGCTGTGTGCCCCACAGCAGGGAACGTTGTGTAGAGGCCTGTTTGGTAATAAAGACTACCTGAAGAGTAAAAGGGAAAAGTGAAGAGTTCTCAAATAGTCACAGTTGGAATCTTTCATGATGATGTGCTTGATTACGCTACTAATTAGTGATTATTACATCGCTATACAAAAGCCAAAGGCTGGTGAAATGTTTTATTTCTAGCATCTGATTCCAATTTTGTTTGTTATTTCAACATTCTGGAGTACAGTGTAGCTGAACCCAGACCAACACCCTTCTGACGATGTATCTTCAGTGACTTCAAGGTCACTCAGGGAAGACAAACTGAGTGGCTCAATCTTTGATGCACATTTGCTGCCTTTCTCTTGGGGACTTTATTCATTTTTAAGTTTTTCAGGTTTAACATTTTGACCTTGCTAGATTTTCTTCTGTATTAAAGCAGTGTAAATAATGAATTCTGTAGGCTTAGTTATGGCTAGTTTGTTACAGAATATGGAGTTTCATAAAAATGAAAGTTCATTGAAACTCTTGTAGGTGATACATGACTTTGGCTTCTATCTGTGAGTTCTTGACACAGACTTGAAGTTCATTACTCCGTGTTTTCCTAGGAGTGTAGCTTACAAACTTGGAGGTGGAACCACCTTAGCAGACCCTTTGATGCATGTAGCAATCTTAAACTCCTTAAGGACATCAGTTCATTTGAACGGAGTTGTTCATAATTAATGGGAAAATCCACAAAGCTATCTGTTTGCTGGCATAAGGAAGCAGCACTTAAAAACAAAAGAACTTCCCAGATAAGCATAATGTATGTATAACATATATAAAAGTTAAGGTTAAAACATGTCTTTCTGTCAGTAAGATGTAGAAATCTTGGTAGAAATCAAAGCTTAACTTTTGCAGGTACTGATGGCTGTCTTCTCCCACACGCTTTCCTGTAAGAAGGGAGGAATGAGCTTCCTAAAGCCATTTTAGCAACACATTTCGCCATTTAAATGAGTAACTCCACAGATGACTTAAGTGATCTGTATGTATACTTAAGATTTTGGAAGTGGCCAAGAATTCATGCACTTGAAGGATTGCCCAAAACCTTTTCTTATAGATAACTATTCTACTGGATGTGATGTTAGGATAGTAAAATTGCAGACAGTAGAACAAATATGATTTTTCCAATTATGTTTTTATGTCTCTGAGCACTTGCATATTTTTTCCAAATGAACTGCAGTACACAAGATCCTTAGTATGTGATTTAAAAACAAGTTTGTTAGCTCACATGCATTAATGGTTATCAAATGTGTAGACAGCTATTATATCCAAGATTGTTGCTGAAGCATTTAATGATGGTGGAAGAAAGGGATTTTATAATCTTGCAAGAATTTTTTGGTTTTTGTGCTTGGAAAAGTGTGTCTCAATGCTTTTATAGCAAGCTTAAAATAACAGGTTATGGGGCAGTGCTAACTTCAAGGAGGTGCAGGTTATTCTACTGTACCCTATAACAGTGTGTACAGCACAAGAGTTCCAAGTTGCTGGTGTTTTTGCTGCCCCGCTTTCCAGTTTAGGAGCAACATAAACTATTTTAATTAATATTGTGTCACCAAAAGCTTTTCAAATGGCCAATTGAATTCTGCCAAGATAGAGTCTTTTGATGAAAACATATCTTTATTGATTGTTGAAGAAGAAAATCATTCTTAAAATGAAATCCAGAGAAAAAAATCATATCCCTCAGAGAAAATTTCTGAGTGGCAGGCTGAGATTAACATCATAAAATTGAATTTGTGCTGCAAACCTTTGATGTAATCAGCAGCTGGGAGATGGTGTTGCCCTTACTGTGCTCCTTCTGATTGTGGTGAATTACTGTGTGGAATGAAATAAGTGTTTCTTGTGTCACTCGTTCAAGAAATACAAACAAGGTATTACTAGGTGGTTCTTGCTAGTTAAAATGAGTTGTATTGATTCCTGGTCCCAGGCTCTTGCTCCCTTGGACTGTAAAAGCAGTGCAGTCACACCCCAGGGGAGATCTGGTGGTCACTCAGCAGTGACTCCTCTGGCTGATGAAGGTGTAGGCCTGGCAGGTCTCAGAAGAAGTCCCATTAAATCTTAAACTAGCAGCGTAGTGGCAGCCAGGGTCTCCAGAATGAGAATGAGGGGAAGCTACCAAAGCCAAGTTAGAGGGAAGGGTGTGTGATGGTTCACGTTCTTGAAAAATGTATTAAAACATGAAGAGCTGGGACAAAGAAAAGTCTTCCTTGGAGCCTTTTCATCTCCATTGTATTCTAATTTCTATAAGTTTCTTTCTCAGTATTTCATTTTTTCTAATTTACTGCATTGCTTAAACCTATAAAAACCTGCATGTACCCTGCAAAATATTGTTGATTGTGTTCAGATTCATGAATACAATGGGATTCTGAAGAGCAATTAATAGCTAAGTTGTGAGCAGCACTGCAGGCATCGGCGTGATGTCAAAGCTTGCAAATACAGCACTAGGTCACTAATATTTAGAGAGAAAAGCTTGTAAGGATATTTTTGTATTTGTGGCTCTTAGTTGGGCTTGTTCTGTATTGTGGACAAGAAAAATTCTGAGAGTTGGCTATATAGAATGTAGGGACTGCAAGTCAATGCAGTATTTAAGTAAAGTTTTTACACCAGCTAAAACATTAATTAAATGGCAGATAAAAGCAAAGAATAGACAGAAATCCTTAAGGGTTTGTTGTGAATGCCTACCAGTCTCTAATTAAAAATAAGCTTCCTGCCATAATATTATAATAAAACTAAAGAAGATTGAAGGGGCAATTTATGCTGTTTGGTGTAGCTATTAAGTACATAAATGCTTGGGCAAATAGAATTTTGATGGACTTGAAGATGCATGTTGCCTTCATAAAATTTCAGTAGCTACTGTTAATCAGTTTGCCCAAATATTTGAGTTTTGAACCTAAAATGAACAGCTAAGTGTTTCTCATCTCATAATACTTCCAAGATTGTATAACAATTTCTGTGCTTTTTTTCTGCACGTACTGATCATTGTGTATGTAACTGGATTTTGAAACAACTGACCATGTTGACAGTACAGGTTGCTTAGGAAATGCAAAATAAGTAAATGTAAAAAGCCCGAAAAGGGCTCCTGACATTGTGACTGTTATCTGTGGAGTGATTTTTTTCTTTAATTTTATATATGTATACAGTCTTTCTCCTTCCCAGGTAAGTTATAAATTCCTGTTTGGTTGCTTTTATCATGGAATGTTCTGTAGCTATGAGAAGAAGCATTCTGCCAAAAGCATTGTTTTATTGCTTGAACAATTTGAGATTACATCTCAGGCAAGTTCACTTCCTAGTTATGAAGACCTTGACAAGTACTGGAACCAATGAATTCTGAAGTCTGCACTCAGGATATGTTTTTTAATGAAATGATTCCTATAGCTGGACTTAATAGCTTAATATTTTCCCATATATGAAGTTTTGATGCTGTATAAATGGTCCAAATTTGTTAAAACAGTACAGCTGAAGTCCTCTAAGCTGTACGAATTGTGGTAATTTTCAGAGTTAAGAGGCTTGTGCTGCGGTTCTGGTGAGATGTGTTCATAAAAGTAGGGGCAGGATGGTGGAGATGTGATGTTATAGATGGAATGAACTGGTATATTTTTAACTAAGAACAAAAATATTTTTTTTTACAGTTATGAAGGAGTACTTTCTGGCAGTCAGAGGAAGGCAGGACAAACGAATTCATTAGGTTGCAAGCAGCAAGAAATGGGAACATGACTGAGGAGCCTGATTTAAAGTTGGATTATGAGTTAACACAGTGAATCAGACATGCTTGAATGGGCAAAGCTGGAGGAATTTAAAATGTGCTGATAAGCTTACATGCAGGCGAGAAATGCCTTGGGCAGTATTTGACTTTCTGGAAATGTTTTACCTCGTTAAAGGAATAGTTTGATAAATCATTTGCTTTTAAAAAGTAAGAAATTTTGCTCTAGGTGCTATCAGCTTCACTATATACCTTTGATAAAACTAATATTTTCAGACAAAGTGTGAATATGTGCATTTGTGCAAGTAAGCATGCAGCATTTCTAGGGCAGTTGTGGCATTTGTAGAGTCAAAGCATTTATGCAAAGTACTCTTTATCTTGTACATCAATATCTTGATCTTAAAGAAAGTTAGGAAGAGGAGGAAGATTTAAGGACAATTATATTAATGCAAGTTCATATGCTTTGTCCTCTATTTCTCTTGCACTTCAGTCACAACACAAGGACAAAAGTGCAAAATGTTTGTGTGAAAAATTACATGAAGGATTTTAGAATGATTTGTCCAGAGTAATATCTGTTTATAAATTCATAACAGTTACATTCTGAAAATGTACAAATGGATTATCTTAGGTTGCTCCAGAAGTAATGTCTTCTATTTATTTCATGGAAAATACAACAGGTATGAAGAGCAGAGTGGTATAAACCTAAACCACTAAAACACTATTTCAGCATAAACACCACACTTAGCTATGCATTTTCATCAGCAATAAACAAGAGCCTGTTTGCCATCCTTGTAAAAATGTGCAGTAGTATGAGTGACCCACTGTTTCACAGCTGCTACCATGATGTTGCTCTTAGGAAGATGTTGCCCACATAGCCTATTTTTCATTGGTGCCAAATCTGGACTATATTGTGTGTGTGATAGGACAGTCCAGCCGAGGCTGGCAATATGCTCTGTGGTCTTCAAATTCATATGGGGTCTGGCCCATATTGTGTTGCAAGAGAGAGGTTATCTACTTCTCTGGCCTGACTCTGGAAGCTCAAGCCTTCAGCTTAGTGAGCGGCACGTCAGTGCTGATGGTTTGTCCGTGTTCTAGGAAGTCCAGAAGAATCATCACTTTGTTATCCCAGAAGACACCGCTCATCACCGGACTTGCTGAGCACTTTGTCTTGAACTTTTTTATTTGATCGTTTGTGAACAGGTTATATTTTCACATGTATTGCATATTCACTACATTCCCAAATTCATTATCCTATCCACCCCCAATGATTGTCCAAGGGACATAGCCTTATCTGGCTATCTTCAGTGTCAGCTAGCCATCTAGCACTGTGATGGTCCACAATAGGTCCATTGGGGTGGTCGTTTACTTCCTCCCAACACTCCTTTTGTCCCAAAGATTGCTGTAGAATGCAAGGACAAGTCTTTGCATGCACAGATAAGGAAGACAAAGGGTAACATCCTGATGCTGTCAAGTTCCAATCAATCCACTGTTCATCACCATCTGAAACACTGCTTGCCTTTCATGATCCTTGTTGCTACTGCTGAAATGCACCACCTATTGTCTCACTGTGCTCACATCCACTGGTTGGTCTCCATAAACATACAACAAGCACTGATGAATGTCAGCAGGTGCTATTTCTTTTGCACGTGGGAATTCAGTTCCACCCCTTTGCTTCAAGCAGTGTTCCATCAGACTGACCCTCTGCTGTCGTCTGTCACACAGCAACAAAATGTAATGGAATATTGGTGGGAAGGTTCAATCTCTGCTGCCGCACCACCATCTGCCTCTGATGTTGTGGCCTAACACAACAAAATAGGATGCATTACTTTCAGAGCAACCCTGTTCAATAATAACAAATTCTAGAGATTTTAATTTTCAATTTGTAGTTAATTCCACTACACACCACTCGCTTAGTAGGTGTGCTGAGAATATTGATCTTGATTCTGTATTTCTCTTACATGAAAATACAACTTAAGGTTTTTATTCAATGCAGTATGAACCTGCAATCTGCTGCTGTATGGTGTTTTACACTAACTGAACATTCCCGTGGCACAAGTATAAATGGCTATGTGATATGCAGGAGAAAATACACTTTAAAGACCTGGGATTTGGTTTGTCACTCAACTCGGAACTTAACTCAGAAGACACCATTTTGTAAGGATCATAAAAACAGTGAAGTTCTGTTTCTAGTCAATACCTAAAAACATGCTTTTAGACTTTGGATAAAACACCTTCCTTTTCTGGGCAGTAAGCAAAAGAAAAAGGCTTTACTCTTGTTCATTAAGCATTATGCTTATATGTGCAGAAATTTATAAAAATAAGTTTTAGAGAAATCATTCTAAAACTGAGATCAATTACTTCTCTAAATATTTTGATGCATACCCACAATGAGATTAGAAAGTATCCTAAGTGTGATTTATCCTAAGAAATTCTTGTAATTAATTTCTGAGGTTCCTCTTCTGCTTTTGATGTTCTGGCTGATATTGTATGGTAGGTTGACCTGCCTTGACAGACTGCCATACTGACCATTTCAGTCCTTTGTCACTGAGCTCTTCATCTCATGTCAGTATGTGATGTATGCAAGCACTTTGACATTGCTGAGACTCCTTCAGCTATTTGTCCATTTTTCTTGAGCTCGTGAAAGCCAAAATTGCCTTCACTAAAGCTTAAGAGAATTTTGGTTTTCTGGGGAATTGTTTGATTGGCACAAGTCCATTTCACACCATTCTCTATTCCTGACAAGAGCTAGAAGCAGACAACAATGTTTTGGCAATATTTTCTACTAAATTGAAAGGGAATGGAGGTAAATAGATGCTCCTGAAGCATCTGTGTAAGTTTCCTGGAAAAATGCTCATCTACACCTTTCTTTTGCAATCAGTCCTTTCACATAAGATGACCCAAAGCATGTAATTGTGTGTGTTAAGTTCCCTGAATATTTGTCTTAACTGGACAAATAGAAGCTTTTTAGGTAAAACTGTCTACTGAAGTACCAAATAATGTTCTGTTACTTGCTGGCTTTCATTTTGAAGACATTGTTGGGATTACTCTAGAAAGGTGTTAGACACTTAGGAATACGAGAACCTGAAGGCAAGAAAAATGCAGTAGAATGATTATGAGATCATTGAGATAGCATTTTAATCAACTATTTTGATTGAAGCAAAGTGAGTACAGAAGGCTGAAGTGTTTCTAAAATGTGTCAAATTTTATAATTGGAGAAGTTGAATTTTTTGTTAAAAGGAGAACTTCTGTACTGTTGTTTGTATGTACACTGGACTATTTTCTTACATAGTTCACAAGAATGTAGTGACCAGTAGTCATTTTGTACAGTTCCAATTTCTTAGTACTGATTGAAATCTATTATGCTGATAAATCTTTGAGACAAGGCACAAATGATTTAGGATGAATTAACTGTTGTGTTCAACAACTAATTTCCCAGCTATGTCTCTGCCTCACACCTTCCTATTGGGCTGCTTCTGTCTCTGAGAAGTTCTGCTCTCCTGACCACCCTCAATCCTTTCTCTCCTTCAGCCACCATTATTTTCATCTTCCTTTACCTTCTAAGGAACCATGAACTCATTACTGATACCCATTTTCACCTGCCAACTTCTGTGCTCTGATAGCTTGCTGCTGGGCTTTATTAACACCCGTGGTAGGGGGAGGTAAGGGAAGTATGGTAGTACTACCAACTAAATCAGCAAGAAAACAGAGTGGCATATGCCCACCAGAGCTCAGGCATGTTATGTAGGGCAGGGTATGCTTATATTGTAATAGCACTTGTCCTTTTTGGCACAGCACGGATTTATTATAGCAGCACTTCTGTCCCTTCTTTCTTCTCAAGCTACTAATAAAAGCATTAATGAGATAATGGCAACAGTCAGTCTCCCTCATCAGCTTTTCTGAGCTCCCCTTTTCAAATGCTGATTGAATTGCTTGGTTGTGTTTTTTTCTCAAGTGTGTTGTTTATTTTTCTGTTGTGGTTTTGTTTTGCTTATTTGGTGGTTGCTTATTTTAATTATTTATTTTATTTCCATGTGGCTTACAATCACCTTGACTTGTTTCTGTTTTCAGGTGTGAGCTATGAGGTTATCAATACCAGCTGTGGCAGTGTGGGGGAGAACTGCTCCTTCTCACAGCATCACTGCCATTATGATTACAGATGACCAGCAGACTATTGTTACAGGAAGTCAAGAGGGGCAAATATGTCTCTGGGATCTTTCATCAGAATTAAAGGTTTGTTTCTACCAAATTGATGAATTGAGGTTTTACCTTTTACTATCAATAATGGAATTCCCTAGGCTCTTGCATTTAAATTAATTATTAAATATAAATTTCCTATAATAAACCATACATTATGAAGCAAAGTTGTAAATGTTAAAGCACACCTGTATGAGTAACCAATTATTTGCAGACATCAGAAAAATTTTCATAGATGATTGCTGATTTATGGGTTATTTTGAGATTATGTGCTGTAATTGCTGTAAGTAATCATACAACTACTGCAGTTCTTACACTGTGAAATCTTTTTTCTTTAATACAGTTGTTGAGCATGGCCTGTCATTTCAAGACAAAAGATGAAATATTGTAATTATGATATAATTAAACGGCTAAACTACTGGCAAATTACTGCTATTCTATTTCATGTCTATCTCTCTGAAAATGGAATGGAGTCAAAGCAATTCCAAATTTCTGTTCTGTGTTTTTAGTGATGGTTCCATTCTTGGATTTTGCTGTGCCATTTCAGTGTGAACATATCTTCACACTTTAGTTTACGCTTTTATGCTGCTTGCTTTTTTCCCATTAACGTGATCTTTGCACGAGATGAAGCTCATCCTAGACAGGTGTTACTTAAACACACACTATTAAATATGTGCTTTGCTATATCAATTCCCTGCTTCTCTTGCCATTTCTCCTTTTGCAGCATGGTGTAGGCCAGAGGGATTCTGTACTTTGCCTGTTCTATAACATTTGACACTCCTGAAATTCTTCAGGAACAGTTTCTAGACTACAGTGATCAAAGACTATAATTCCTATTGGCAGCATGCAAACTTACACGATCTGTACACATCTCTGTATATTTCAGAAATATAGCTGAAGAACATAAGAATATAAAGCACATTGTCAATTACTGATAATGTCTACAAGTAGGATTTGCTAGCTTTTAGATCTTGGTAGTTTATAAAGTGCTCTGTTTAAGTTAAACCATTGTGTTATTCTCCTAGATTTCATCTAAAGAAATTCTCTTTGGCCATACTGCTTCTGTAACTTGTTTGGCAAAGGCAAGAGAGTTTGAGAAACAGCCATATGTAGTAAGTGCTACTGAAAATGGGTAGGTAACTGAATACTCAATTTATTTTTCAAATCATAAAATGTACATCAAACATAGATCAAATTCTGCATTTGGCAGAAAGTTTTTAATCCACTTTCTTGATTCTATAAAAAGAATAGCAATTATGGTAATGACTATTTCTTGTATACAATAGGCTAACCAAGAATTCATCTCTTAGGCAATAGAAGAGCTCGGCACGTCCGGGTAACCAGTTAGTCAGGAGAAAAAGTTATTCAAGAGTCAGGCCCCATTCAAATGGAGGATAACAGACTATGGAGGGAGGGATTGGGAGGTTTAGAACTTTAATATCACGATGACTTTTTCTTCTTGAGTTTGATCTCAAGAATTGAATCAGGAAGGAGGCTAATGTACTTGATGCAGGTTGTGCTTGCTCAGTGACAACATCTGGAAGCCCAGAAAAAACAACTATGGAATAAAAGGTGTTAATGTTCTTTGTCTTCACTTAAATTTCATCAGCTGTCTTGGTATATGTCCCTTGAGTTTCTTGATCTTTCAGATTTTCTTGTATGTTTGTTGCGATTTGGCACTCTACTTAAACTAATTTCTGCAGTCCTGCCAGAGTAACATATGAGTTTTTATTTCTTGATTATTTTATAATCTTTTGTGCTGGAATCTGAAGCCTGTCTGTTGAAGATTTCAGCTTTTGAAAGCAGTTAGATCTAGTTTATTACTTTCTTAATGACTTTTCTTAAAAGATTTTCTCTTGATACTTGATGATATTCCTCATTCATCTTAGGTTCACTTTTTTCAATTAACAAGGCAGCTCTGTTAAAACCTCTTCCCATGATGAACACTTGTCATTTGCCCTCTCCAAGCTACAACTTTTGTTGCCTTAAGGGTGCTACTTTCTCACTGAGAACATTGTTGAACCTTTCCATCCAGCTACTAGGATCTCTAAGTCTCTCAAACTTCAGGTTGCAAGGAGAGGATAACCTAGCAATGTGATTTGGGCATTTTAACCAAACTGTTTACCTCTGTCTCCCAGTGGGGCAATCTAAGCTTTAAGGATTCATCAGAAAAGAAAGGTGGGAGAACTACAGAACTAGTTTTTGATTGCTTACTGACAACTCCGCTTGAGAGTTCAGAATTGAGCCTATCTTTCATCTTAATTCTGAAGTTCTATTAGTGCAATATCATTTGCAGATCATACTGGAAGACAAGACACTATTTCCAAAAAAGCTGTGATGAAATGTGCTAAGAAACAAATGGGGTTTTTGCTATAGATGTGATACGTATGTTCACAGTTCTGAAGGTTCTGCCATATAGGGCTTCCTTGGAATGAATATTGCTAGGACTAAACAGTCTTTTCTGCTTTAAATCTTGCTTTCCAAACTATTGCTTGCTTAAATCCTATATAGAATAAATACAGAATATTTTTCACCTATCCCTGGAAGGTTACGATATGAAGTTGAGAGGTAGAAATAGGAAACCTCCTCTTCAGGAGATATGGAATTAAACTATTTTCTGGCCTGTGAGTCCTTCAATTCCCTGCCGTTTTCAAGCCTCTATCTCCTTGCACTGGGGATAGAGAAAATTGTGTGGCAGATACTTCCTTTCTTTTCTCCACTCTAAATCCCTCATCAGAATCCTTCAAATGTTTCTTTAACTGATTTATTCCAGAAGGGCGACTATCAGTCACTGTTGGTACTTTTAACAAGGAAATCTTGTAATTTAATTTAATCCACTATTCATAAATTTTCACTCATGTTCTGTGTCTGCTTGTGCCATGTGCTGTAGGACAGTATTATTAATGTGCTGCACCACTCCTTCCTTTCCTTATATACAAAGTAAATTAAGTGCAGTGTGCAGATGCTGAAGCTATATTCTGGTCTAATTTGTGTGTGCTTGCATGTATGTGTTATAGCAATTTCACTGAAGTGGTAAAATTCCATGTATTCTGATATAACCAAGAAGTAATTCACTGCCTTGAAATGATTACTGAAGACTAAAAGTTCTTATTTTTGTTCTGTGAATCTGGCATGCTATGTATATAGATTGTACTCCTGCAGAAGTGAAAAAAATAATTAAGCTAATGAGTAGATTAAAATGCAAGTTACTAAGTATTTTTGATATATTAAAATGTTTCCCCTAACGTTTAAAACTCTTCTTATTAAAAATGCCTTTGAATGTAATCTGAGAAATCGTGGATATAATTATTTAAAATTTGGAGCAGAAATTATTATTTAATTGCTCAACTATGACTCCAAGCCAGGTAAAAATTCATTTACAGCACTTAAATTGGTGTTTTTTTCTGTTGCACTCTCAGTAGCATGTTGACCAATATTTCAGTGAGGAGGAAAACTAGCTAATGGGACTTTCTAATACAGCTCTTAAATGTTATGGAGCAGAGCTGACATTTGGGTTGTCAAGAGAGTCCGGCAGCAGCCTCATGGTGGCACTGTTTCTTCTTCACTGAGAGAGTCAGTTCCTCCCTAGGACTGAAGCCTGCAGCAGAAGATGCATTATGTGTTTCAAAACGTGTGGTTTAAGTTCAGTTGAATGAATCATTTCAGGAGGATGTCGTTCCAACGAATGATAGTTATAGTGACACTTTGACGAGCTATAATGGCAGTATACCTACAATTTGTTGTAGACCAGAGTTGGCCTTAAAGTCAGGTTTGCTGTGAGGTAGCAGGGTGTAATTACCAAAACAAAAAGCAACAGATACTGTATGTCATGCCCTGCTAATGACCGCGACGTTTTCATACCCAGTAATCTGTAACAAAAAGCCACATAAATGACCAGACTGCACTTAAGTACAGCACTAAAGAAAAACTTGGTGGCACAAAATTATTCCGTCCAATTGAGTGGAAATGACAGAGAATAATATGAAGTTATCTTTGGCAGGGAGATGTGTGTTTGGAATGTCACTAGTGGACTGTGCATTGAGAAAACAAAGCTTCCTTATAGGCATACAGCAATCTATGTAAGTATAGAAACTTTTCATGAAATATCTCCCTTCATTACAAGAGGGGTTTTTCCTCTATTAATTGTATTTTTTTCAGAAATACATAGTTTTAAATGCAGTTCTAAACATAATTCATAGAAAATTGTTGCAATACTAGTTGTATGTTATTTTTCCTTTTAGATTCCTTCTGAGAAAATAACTATGACTTAGTATTCCTTAATCAAATCAAACTGATTTTCATTAAACCACATGTGTCTAGAATGCAATCTCATTTATGTATTTTAAAAATATGTTGTGAAATAAAGTTGTCTTGTAATCTTTACTCTTGTCCTTTGTTAAAATAGCAGGGGAGCTTCAAGTTTTAATGCTGGCTTCTGGATGAACTATTTCTGAAGCGTGAGCAATCTAGGCATAGTGAGAGAATTTGCTGAAGGTCTTATCAAAACCTTTCAAATGGGTTTAAAAAATGCCTTAATGACTAACCTCTAAGACTGCTCTGCCTCACTACCAAAAAATGCTCTTTCATTCATTGCAGAAATCAGATAGATTACTGTTGTGCTTTTTCTCACTGGCCAAACTGCTTTAAATCTTAAAAATCTTCAAATCATTTCAAGTATCTGACTTGACTGGATAAAGTATACATCAAATATATACTGGAACTGGAACATGAGGGTGTTTAAAATGTGATTTAGAGCCTAACACATACGTTTGATTGAAAGATGCTTTTATTTGTGGAAATACCAGCAAAAGAGCTCAGAACTCATATATTAATTAAAACGATGATCTTCAGTGAAGAAGTCTACAGTGGAATTAGATCTCCAAATGATGGCAATCTGAGACTTCACTGAGTTCTCATGTGACTCTTAAACTATGGCCGAATCACAAAATAGAAACTATAGATGAATAACTTCTTAACAATCTGTTTACTTGTGTATGTACATGTATACATGTATAAAAACAGTAAGCTGTTTTTCTGCTTAGTATTTATGTATACGTGATAGAAGACATGCTTTTAGTGTTTAAGTACACATAATATTAATGCTCAATTATGTATCTGAAGTGTGGTGTGATCTGTGTTGTGCATTGCTTTATTAGATTTTAATAGTTCTGGAGATGTTCCACAGAGAAGCAGGCAGATGTGACCTGGCTGATTATCTGATGATGTGTGTGCTTCTGTGAAGAACAGAGACAGAAGCTTAGTTCTTCTCCTTCAAGTAGGAGAAGCAAATACTTTCAGAATAGTGTTACTTTTCTATTAAAAGTAGTGCAATTATGACTGGATAATGATTTTTTTTTTGTTGTTATTATTTTAGCACGGTAAGATGGCAAAAGGAAAATGTGAGCATCTAAGGACAACACTTTTCTAAGAAAGAAAGTTCTGTAGTTAGGACAAGAAACAGTTCTTAAAATATAGTCTTCAAGTACTAGTAATTGTTTTGTGTTCTTTGATATTGTTTGGCTGTGGGTTTTTTGAGTGTTTTTTATGCTTTTTTCTCTTTTTTCCTGCGACAGAAGTTCAAAAAATATCATTTCACACAATGTTGTTGCCTGGGAGTTGTGGTGCGTTTTAGCACTGTTTTAGCATCATGATTTAAAAATAATTTTGTTGACATTATCTGGCTTAGTATGTTCCTTTTGTTCAGCATCAATAGTTCTACTATAAATGGCAGATGTCAAGCAGTGCAAACAATACTTCCAATTTCCAATGAAACTGAACACCAAGGTCAACTGCTAACCATTTGTGGGATCTTAAGAGAAGTGGGATCTTCTCATTAGAGGACTGAATGATTATATATACTGAGGACTAACCAATTATATATTTGAGTAACAGTTACAGATTCTTCCTGTTTCTGAGCATTTCTCCATCTGATTGTTCATTTCTGTGATGGTACTTATACTATTCCCAGTTATTTATGGGTCCTTTATTTTCAGACTTGAATTAGTTAACTGATACTTTGAGAACCATCTAACCCAAACTGGAAGTACGGAAAAACATCCTCGAACATATAAAATACCTGGAAAAAAGATAGTCACTCTGCACCCTGTTATCAAGCCCTTTGCTATGCGTTTCTTCCATTCTTTATTTGATTTTTGAGAAATAATGGATTTCTTGAACAGGAGGGCAATTACTATCATACTGAAAATATCTTGTAGAGTAGAAATTCTTCCTGGAAAATAATTGGAAATTCAATATGAATCCTCTGCATTTTTACCTGACTTATCCCTAGTCTTTATCCTTCTTGATAAATGAAGTTTTATCAGATGTTTGGAGGAGATGAGCTCTCAGAAATCACTACCAAACTGTTTAGCAATTTACAATGAAATTAACATCTTCAGTGCTTTCAAAAATCCTAGTTGCTAGGCAGGGCAGATAATGATTTCAGTATTAAGTCCCCTTTTTTCTAAAATTTAAACGTATGTTAAATTGTTCTAAATTTATGTGGAACATTTGCAATTCTACCAAAATTGCTTACTGTTTCATGTGTGTAATTCACTATATATTTTTAGTAATTTAGTGTTGAATATGTTTCTATGATATGCTTAATGTGAATGATATGCATGCACACTTCCTGAGCTCGTTATGCTGACTCTCTTCTCTCCACTTGCACAGTATTACCACTGCTCATTCCGAATGACAGGTGAAGGCTGGCTTCTTTGTTTTGGAGAATATCAGGATGTTCTTATTATTGATGCTAAGACTTTGGGTGTTCTGCACACTTTGTCTTCTCAGTCTTCTGATTGGATAAACTGTATGTGTATTGTCCGCTCTGCAAGAATTCAAGGTATACAGTATAGATATTAATACAACCGATTAATTTAATGAAATATTTCTGTATTACTTGTAGGATCTTACTAGATTAACAAATATTCAGTCGTGTTTTACAGAGCAGTTTTACATGAGACGTTGTTTCATTGTTAGAACTAAAGGTGTCTGTAATACCCTTAGTGTTGGTCATGTTTCATTCTTTGTTTCATAAAGAGAAAAACAAACGACCTGCAATTGTAAGCAGCTTGTTGTTTGGAGATAAGTACAAATTAATTTGGTAATATCAGGGAAATAATGGACACAGAACTGCTATTTTATCTTTGTTTGGAACGTAGATGGTTGGACAAAATTATTCACTGTTTGTTTGCAGCTTTGTATTTCTAAGCATGAATGAGTTGTTTCGTAACTCGTTTAAACAGTGCCCTGTAGAATCCATCAGATTAAGTGCTATACAGCACACCAGTGTCTATGCCAAGGTTTTTCTTTTTGTTAGGCACTGTTTGGACTCTTTCAAACTGATTATCTTGCTGTTATCTTTTCACAGAAGACTCATTGGTTGCTGTGTCTGTAACTGGAGTTCTTAAAGCATGGGACCTATCTTCATCTTTGACCAGCATACAGGTCAGTTCATGAAATGATAATTGCAACAATAACATAAAAATAACATCAAGTGAAGATACACTGAAGTAAAATATGAATGAGTGAAAATCTTATGGCTATGATTTAATCCAGATTGATTAATTTTGTCTGTCTTTGAAGATGCTGGAGTCTATTAAGTTTCTACAAAATCCTGAAAACTCATCCTCCTACTGCTGTTTAAAATTAGTTTGGATATTGGCCAGTTTTTGCCTGGCATTGCAGTGTTCATATCTTTCCTTAGGCTATGAGCTCTTAAAAACCCACCCTTTTGTACTCCCTCTTCATCCTTGTTACTTTTCTCAAAATGATTCTTTAGATTATATTTTTAAATATTTTTCATAGTACTGTCTTCACTTAGAAAATACTCTTGCTGTGTCAAGTGCTCAATTTGTCCATCTTCAGACTGCCTGATTCTGTCGATTTTTGTCAGTAGTCTCAGCAGCAGTCATTTGACTTGCACAGATGATAAAAGTCAAAAATGGTGTTCTGGGTTCGAGTCAAACTCTGAGGACTAGTTTCACAAGGAGATCAGAGCATTATAGCTAAATACTAGGGATTGTCATCAGAAATGGCAAAAAGTCATCAATCTTCTTTGGAGCATCCATAATACATTACTGCCTTATTTGACAAACTGCAGAGCATGCCACTGCACAACTTGTTAATTGATAGGATCAGGCCCCTCAGGATACTCTGTCAAGTTTGATACTGTACAAGTGTTCACATGATGTGTTTTTGACTGTTCTGCAATGTTTTGGGACTTCTTTCTAACATTCCTAGGGGAAAAAAAGTCCTGTTACACTGTAGAAATTCTGGGGACTGTAAAAACTGATCAGCACATAGCACCATATCGTGTGCTTCTGCTATCCCTGTATTTTACTGTCTGGGACTTTCTTCGTAAGAGAGGAGAGCAGAGTTGGTAAAAATCAAGTTACTGCAGATGCTTAGAGAACAGAATTTTAATAAATATTGTTGGATTGAATTGATATTAATATGAGGTGAAATTAAAGAATGGTTTGTCCTCTTTCTGTGCAGTGATTCTGTAATCAGCATACCTCTTCAGGGAAGTTATGATACTGGCAGTACCTTTCAAAGCAAAAAATGTAATTTTTCAATCATTTAATCAGTAATTAAAGTAACTCCAGTTTAATCATAAATGAAGATCTGAGCCATGCAGGATATGATTTATTTATACTTGTGTAAGAGTACTTCTGAACTCTGTCTTCCAGTCTTGCTTTTAATTAGGAAATATATGTTGCTTTACATACAGTTTCTTTCTATTCTAAAAGTGAAAGTTAAGCTGTCTGGAATAAATCATAACTCTTTTTTTTCCTTCTCTGCTCAAAGGAGAGGCAAAATGTGTATGAAAAGGAATCCAAGTCTCTGAACTGCATGAACTGCCGAGCAATACGGTTTTGCACTTACACAGAAAGGCTCCTTCTGGTTGTGTCTTCCAGATGCTGGCAGGTATGTTGTTGAGCATTATATTTGTTTGATTTAGTTAAGAACCTTGAAAAGCTGGTGTAATCAATTCTGACATGTAAATACTTCTCTTAAAATTAGTGCTTGCTAATTGTCAGATGTGTGCTGTCTTCCCTTCAGTTATCTTAACTGTCTTACTGAGGTTTTCATTTTAAGTATTCCTGCTTTAAAAGATTGACATAAAATAATCCCCTTCATACAGAGCTGATTTAAAGTATCCCTCAGTTCTAGAGCATTGGGTGCATTACAGCACACTCTGTGGTACATTAAAAAACAAACTGGTGTTGTGACATTTTTCTGAAGGTGATTTTGGACTATTAGCATTAATGTCTGATTCAGGTGCCTCTGGAGGTGTGGAAAGCTGGAGTTCATAGAGCTGAGTCAGCTCAGGTATTCTTGAGGTTCCTCTTGGGCTATTTTGAAGAAAAAACTGTATAAAAGCACCGATTTTCTTCTATAGAACAGGCAGGTTTTGCATGGAAAAAGTGTAATATCCCGTTGTTTATAAACTTCTGATGTTTTTCACAAAATGCATGTTTCTTGTTGTGTTTGTGTACTTATCTATATGGCTTCTTCAAAAGCAGAATATGTGCAAGTGGCTTATTTTAAACTTTTGTTTTAATAAATATATAGCTCTAAAGGAGAAGATAATGATGATCTTACTGCTTAAATAGAAGGTCATGTAGCACGTGCCATGAGAGAGACTCACACGTGTCCTTAGTGACTCAGCTCACTTCTATGGTTATGAAAATATTGAGCAAATTATTTAAAAGTCCCGTGCTCCATATAAATCATAATAATTCTCATTCTGAAATTTCTCCTTATGCTGTTGGAGTAGGTTGTAGAATGTGGCTAAGAAAACTCTTTTCAAGATTACTAGGAACATGGACAAAGATCATATCTTGTGTTGTCACGTTTTTGTTAAAGATGGGGTGGCCAAAGGTAACAGGATATTATTTTATTTCTAGTCTTCAGAAACAGAAAAGCTACAAGAATTCTCCCAAGTAAATGCTCCTCACTTTTAATTAATCTGTGAAAAAGAAAAATCTGTTGTTTTTCAAACAAAGAAAAATCTGTTCTGCTAAAATCTGCTGTGATTACATTAGCAAATTATTGGTTAAAGAATGCATAAAGAATAAGAACAGAAGCATTAACTGAATGTATCAGTCTTCAATGTTATATTGTTATGTACTAAACTCATTGCTTCTACTCAACAGTCCAGTAAACATTAATGATAAACGCAAAGCAAAACAAACTAAACTCTATCTAAAATCCTCTAACGTAGCAGAAGCCCTTAATGTTATTTTTTTTTTTTTCAGTTTATCTTTGTGGTATATGGTTTGATTCTGACGTTATGCTAGTTTAATGTTATAAATATTGCTTTGGCTTTAAAAGAAGTGGTCGAACTACAGAGTTAAGCTAATGTTCTTTTTCTTGATCCTTTGCCTAAAACTAGCTTGTTTAAATATGATTGTGTCAATATTGTTTGTGTTTTACTCTTTTTTGGGACTTAGGTCTATGATTATTGTGATTTCTCCTTGCTGTGTACTGAGTTCTGTAAGAGTGGCCAGTGCTTTGCTGGTGGAGAAGTACTAGCAGCTTACAGGCTTATCATCTGGACAGAAGATGGTTACAGTTACATCTACCAGCTGCTAAACAGGTGGGCTCAGATGGGAAATTCACACAAAAAGTTCAGGTACAGGATGAACTTTGGGAGGTTTATTATGGAAAATCTCTGCATGTTGCAAGTGATCAAAAACCAGAACAAAAACACTTTGGCACTCAAAGATTTACCCTGAATTTGACAGCTCTCAGTCTTTGTTTGACACAGCAGGGGACCCAGGAATAAGATTAGCCATGTAGAACTTGGGCAGCTGGCGCTGTGATTTCACAAAGTCGCTTGTAATTGCTTGGTAACTTTTAATTTAACTTGCGGATCTTAGATGTTGCTGTTCTCCTTTCTTTAAAAAAAGAAAAAAGGAAAAAAGACTTTCTAAATCTTTTCTTTCTGAATTATGCAGTGGACTTTCCAAAAGCACGTATCCTGCAGATGGGAAGGTGCTGAAAGAAACTGTTTATCCTCATTTACTCTGCTTTACTGATGTGAAGGAAAATAAGGTAAATTCATAAAGATTTACAGTGAGATTCAAAAGCTGCTTCAATATATGTTTGTAATTTCCAAAATTGCGACGAAGATCTAAGTGCTGTAAGTGTGGGTTTTTGACTTAAACAAGTAGGACATTTCTTCATATGAATGTGTTTACTTATAAAGTTGGAGATGTTCCCAGTGTTGTCTTTAATTCTGACTTATTTAATTTTTTCACAGAAATCCTGCATTTTCAGCTACAGGTGTTTCCTTTTTATTAAAGAAGCAGAGGTTTTCTTTAAGCTAAAAGCACTCTAAAATAGCTTTAGAACCTTTTACTCTCACATCTGCTTTAAAAAAAAAAAAAGCAAAGAAAACCAGGTTATTTAATTCTTGTTCTATTAAGAAATGCATGCATGTTTCAGTGTATGCCTATCCTGACTTGAAGGGTTTAGAGTCAGTGACATCTTATGCAGATTACTGTTATATCAAGCCTTTGTAGTCATCGTCACACAGCTCACTCTTTACAGCGTGGGCAGACTGACAGTATTTACAGTGAATGAAGTTAAACAGGTTTTTAAGCAGTTTATGTAGATCTCCAAAAGAGACCTATTTTTCACTTGTTCCTGGCCAGAAACACTCAAATACATAGGTTTTTTTCTATTGAGCTTTTGTTTTTGTTGGCAGCCAGACACTCTTAGAAACTGTTTTTGTTGCATGCAAAGATGGGATAACCGCTGAAGGATGCCAAAGGGTCAGATACCTTTTGGTAAAAAGAAAGAAATAGCCAAAATACATGGTTTAGTGATGCTAGGGTGTTACAGCAGGAAGCTCATGTTTTTTTCTTCCCCCAAATATATGCATTTTTAATAATGTCTGCTGCCATTTTCTAATATTTTTATTCAAGTATTTACCACCTGAATAATTTTTATAGTGGATTTGTTTTACAGGACACAGCTCCCTTGGTGACAGTCTGTTTTCATCTCTTTAGATGATAACCTGAGTTACATAAAGATAGAGTTGCTTATTGTGAAATTTACTCCCAAATTTCAATGTTGTAAATAAAACACATCCTGCTTACGGGGATGTTATTAAAAAGCCTTCAAGGAGCATACAATCTAACTGTGTTGACACTATTAATTAAAGCTGCTCTTTAGAGGAAAACTGTGCTGATGACTGTTCAATCCTTGCTACTGAGCATGCATTTTTTTCTGGCTTGTTTTTGGCAAGTCTCTTTGTTATGCACCTTTGTGTCTGAAATGCAGCATCTGTTCTCCTGCATGCATCTTTCAGTTTAATTTTACCCAGAAGGAATCTTGATGTGGTACTCCAGGATGACTTCAAAACACAAGCAGCACCAATTTCCAAAGTACACTCCTGCTCTAAGTTAAAATGTCTTACAGGAAATACACCTGGAGTTTCCTATTTTCTTATCTTCTGGAAGAGTGCATCATTCCATTTCTGATATTTCTATGGCTTCTAATCTCAAACTTGGAATTTGAAATTAATTATTGCATTATTTTATCACCTCTTCCACATCAGAATTGTGACTTACTGTTATTTTTGGCAGAGTTTCCCTTTTGTCATGGGTTTTATGAATGAAAGGAAGGAGCCTTTCTATAAGATTCTTTTTTCTGGTGAAGCTTCAGGAAGAATCACTCTGTGGCATGTTCCTGATGTTCCTGCATCAACATTTGATGGTTCACCAAAAGGTTAGGTAATTCTATGCTCTCAGTGCAATCTCTTTAGTTATGTCTGTAAATCATGAAAACTTGTGAAAACACTTAGTGGTAAAAAATTGCTGTGTATCCATTCGCTGTGTGGTGACTCTCTATAGTCAGCAGCAACACACCAACAAGGAGTGTCCAGTAACTGACACTTCTTTTTCATGTGTTTGAATGAATGAATATTCCTTTCAATCTGCTCATAAGCACACCTTTACCAATTGTCATGGAAATTTGCTTAGTTGATCCTGCTTATGGCTGTTCATAGACAGGTATATTTAAAATAAAGGATTTTAGTGAGATGATGTAACATGTTGGAGTGCCAAGCACAAACTCCAACCTAAAAGTACAGGAGCGATAAGTTTGGAAGTGGTTGTGAGATGAAAAATACATTTTGGTTTTCTTTTGAATTTAAATAATGTTCCTGTCTTTTTCTCCCCACACTCTAGAAATCCCAATTTCAACAATGTGGACTCTTCAAGATAACTTTAATAAAGCCCATTCAGTGTCAGAGGGCATTATAGATCATCTTTGTGAGTCTAAAGATGGAATTGAAAATGCAGTTGTGACTTCCTCCGTGTACATACCCAGTCTGGATAAGCTTGTGTGTGGATGTGATAATGGGAAAATATTCATAACACTAGGTCTAGAAACTGCAAGAGCAAGATTTCTAGAAAATGTGTCTCTGAAAGGTAAGTTTTAACAATTTTGCTTAATTATCTGAATGAGGCATGGAAGACTTCATGCTTCTAACATTCCTTTCAGTCATCTCTTTGAAGATTCCATGAAAGTGGAGGTGAGGCTCAGGGTCTGAATGAGGAAAATAGATTATGATAGTCTTTCCAGCCTCCCTGTAGGTGACTTATCAAATCACTAACAGAGCACTTTGCAGTGCTAGTCCTGTGATGGATGTGGGGATCGGAGTCAACTGGAATTAGAGTTGTGGGATATCATAGAGGCAGCAGTCATCTTTGTCATTTTCCCTCTCAAAGATAATTCCACTTCAGAAATAAAAAAAGATGCTTTCTGGTGGATGAAGGTCAGAATGTACGCTTTTGTTCTCCCTTTTAGAGAGAATGTGTCTAAAATCTCATGTAGGAAGATACCTTTCTTAAAACTCTTTAGTTGAAAGTTTAGTTGTAATTAGTCTTCTGAATCTCTTGATGTTTTATGGAACCTCTATTTTTAAAGAAGATAAATAACTTACTGTGTTGTTTCAGGTAATCTACCTCATAAAGTTTTGAATGGTCATAGTAGCAGAGTTACATGTTTACTTTATCCACATGGTAATTCAGTAAGATTTGATCCCAGCTGGCTGTTATCAGGGGGCCAGGATTCTACTGTGATCTGTTGGGATATATTTACTGGAAAAATCTTGCACCGATTTAGTCTGCAATCTGGTCCAGTGACAGAGCTATTGAGATCTCCAGACAACTGCAAAGTAAGTATATATGTGATAGAGTATCTCAAATACATGTACTTGTGCCCTGCCGCACTTGATCTTTGATTTGCAGTTGTTAATCACTTAATTGTTTTGTTTGAAAGTTGCTTTTAACTTCAGGGTGTTGATTTTGTTAATTTCAGTGGTACAGAAAAATGCTAAAATGCTGATGTATTTAATTCTACTTAACAGTCTATTCATCCTTTTTCATATCATGATTGTAAAATTGTATTTGAATCTGACAAATCTTTGTAAATGGTATATATTCAAAAACTTCATAAAGGCTAGTTCAAGGTCTTAATGCTTGTAAGGCTCTTAAGCAATTTTTCTGGAATCTAGATAAACTGTATTTACCTACTTGGATGATGATCCAATTCATTTATGGGGCTGATATTTTCCATCAGGTAAATTCCTTCATATCACCAAAAATTGCTATGAGAAAGAATCACAGGGGTTAGAAGGGACCTCAAGAAACCATCAAGTCCAAATCCCCTGCTAAAGCAGGTACCTTACAATAGGGCTCACAGGTGGGCATCCAGACCAGTCTTGAATATCTCCATACAAGCAGACTCTACAACCTCTCTGGGCAACACATTTTAGTGCTCTATCGCCCTTAAGGTAAAGATGTTCTTCGGCATGGTAGTACAGAAATTCCTATGTTCAACTTTGACTGCTTTAACAGGCCAAGTATTGGTGTCTAAACTATTCTTAAATTTGAAAAATCAGAAGAGAATCTAAGGATCTGTTTTACAGCTTGCCTGCTAAAAATGACTTGGAGATGTAGTCTGAAATAAAACATTTCCCGATATCAGTATTTTCTGGGAAATAACTACATAACTTTTTCCAGGCTTATGACAATGGGGTATCATCATGACTTTTGTTGCAGTATTGATCACAAAATTCTTAATCTGTTTTGCAGTTGCAGTATCATAGTGTAGTGTGCTGTGTGTGCAGTGATCACTCGGTAGCAGTTCTACACCTTCAGAAGAAAGTTTGTCTCTTACATGCCAGAAAGCATCTGTTTCCTGTGAAGAAGATAAAATTTGACCCCACTGAAAATCTGCTAATTGTTGGGTGTGAAGATGATTCGGTTTATGTTTGGGAAGTTGAAACAGGTAATATCAGGTTATTTGTTCACTTCAAGTTTTGTCTGTGATGTTTATGAACATCTTAGATTAATTAGGGAGGTTAAAATTTCTATACTGTTCACGGTATGTCACTAACATAATAGCTTACCTATAGCTTGTTATGTAGAAATTTAAGTCAGATTCTGATGACTGAATGATTAGCTGGTATTGCAGTGAATTGAGCTCAGCAGTCATTAATAAATACAAGCATTTTTATAGAGATTATGGTGTTTGAAGATGCTACCAGTCTCTAACTGTTCCATCTACATGTTTTTCCTCTTCTAAAATTGATGGTGAAAACAGTATGTAATTTAGGTGGGGAAAATATGATGTAGAATGTTTTCCTTGTTTAATACACAACTAAGAAGGGCACTTCTCAAAATCATGTGAATAGGCTGTATGTAAAAACTTGAGTCTGAGATGTCCCTGAAGGTCATTTAAATCTCATTGAAGATTTAGTTGCATTTGAAACTCTAGTAGAGCCTGGCAAATGTGACAAAGAACCACAGAACTTTTGTTTCCTTATTAATCTGTTCTTATCATTGCTATCATTTTAACTTTTGCATCAGTTATTCTGTATCACCTTTCTATCACCATAGAATGACTAAAGTAGCCTAAGAAGTTAAGATGTTTCAAGGGAGATGATTATATCTCAGTTGCGATTTTATTCTAGTATGATTAGATATCATACAAAAGTGCAGTGAATTATTTGTAAATCAGTGGGACTTAATACCGTAGGATTGTACTGGTACCAAAAATGTAACAAAAAAAAAAAAAAAGTATGCATTGAACACTCTCTCCTTTAGCCGTGAAAATGGTGCTCATTTGACAGGAAGTAAATCGGATGCTCACATATTATGTATTCTAAATGGGTTAAATTACTGTTTCTGTATCTTGTTGCCACTGGCTAGAATGTGGGCTGCAATCACTACTTTTAATGAATGTGTGGAGCATAAGGGATGCAGTTATTTGCTGCATAAGCCTGTATCAACTTTCTTTTCTATTCCACTTCTGCACTAGGAGCTGAAAAATGCCATCTAAGCCCACCAGGATATACTTGCTTTAACATAAATTAAATCTTTATTACAGGAGAACATGAGAGGTTGTAGCATTGATCCTTGAAATTGGCCTGACCTAGATCGAGAGCTGTATAGAAACTTCATTGTCACTCAGGCAGACAGAGCATTGTTTAGATGTATGAGAATGGTGTATCAAACAAAACTCAGCAGAAGCGAAGTCTTGTAATACAGTTTTCATCTGTCAGTATTTGAACAGACAGGTGTGCCTGTACCACTTGCAGATTTGTTTACCTGTGAGTTCCCAGAAAGTTGGAGAATAATCTGAGCAATAGCCTTGTGCTCAAATTCCATCGTGGATTTGAACATGGAATAGTTTTAGTAGTTTCTGTTGTCAAAAAGTGGTTTGGTTCTTTTTTTTCTCTTCTGACTGTGCAGTTAGTTTCATTTAGAGGCAAAGCCTCAGTCATGAAAGTCAGCAGAGGACCCAATTTTTTTTGTCAACCTCATACATCACTGTTTGCAGTTCAAAAAAATACTGAACACTGTTACTGTACTAGAGATAATGGATAACTGGGAAAACAGCCAGTCTGCTTATAATTTGGGGATGTGAAATAAGGAATCTCTATGAATATTTCAGTATTTACACTGCTGTAGAGTCAGCAGTAACTGTTGAATTTGACAAATGACTTCACAAAAATTCAGGGACTTTTAGTATCTATGGTAGTTGTTCAGCTATACCACTTTAACTTCAGAGCTGTCCTATCAGGTAATTAAGAAAACAAATCCTTAAGCAAATGAAAGCCTTTATTATATATTATAGTTTATCTTCCAGATTTCAATGAGATACTGATAGCTGATACTTTTTTCAAAAAGTATTCTGAAGTTAAATTTAAGGCGCTTTTTATCAAGTGTACTTTTGTTTCTCTTATGGGATGGGAAAAACACTGTCATACAGATTAAAATCTAACCCAGCATTTGTGTGTGCAGCCTGTACCCATTTCTTGGTTAGCCTGTCAAAGATTTTATTTTGCCTCGTAAATGATAAACTATCTCTGAGGATGATGGGTTGCCTATGTTATTCCAAATAGTCATTTAAGGATGGCTTATGTTGAAATGCATTAAATGACAGGAGTATAGTTAACTCCAATTGGAATCCATTGAACTAGGGACATTCATTTATGCTTATAAATATAAGCTAGCAACTATCAGCTAGTAGTTTAGGCCATGTCTTTAATGTTTAGGAGGAAATAGGAATAAATAGAAAGGCTCCATTGACTATAAGGGGAGCGTGAAGAAGAGGGGTGAAAATAAGTTGCTTGCTGCTACTATTACAAGTCCCCAATAAGATGAACTGAATCTCATCCTAAGTACTTCGATTTACTGAATAAAGTGAAATTATTGTAAGTTTAAATGTTGTGCTGAATGTGCATGTGGTTAGTGATAAGGAAAATAAAATAGATGCTATGAACTAGTATTTGTGTAGGCAAACATTTTGCCTACATTTTAATATATGGATATGGTAAGTTCCCATTAAAGTAGAATATTTTCCATGACAATAAATATCGATCTAATAATACATATGGAATATTAATATAGCATGTGCACAGGGTATGTTCCAAACTTGTGTGCTGGAAGATGAATATGAAAATCAATAACAAATTTTGTTCTAATTAAAGTGTAAAATATTTCTTCCAATAGCCACCACTTGAAGTCCACTTCAATAAGGAAATTAGCTGTAATCTGTATTGCTCTTATGTTTTTCTGAGCACTTGATATATTTGAGATTTTTCTTTAAAAGGTAATTGGTATAAGATGTAACAACAGGATCATGTTTTCTTTCTTGGTTAAAAAAAAGTCATGTAGAAACCTGCCAATGGAGCTACATTTTGTCCAATGCACACTAAGAGCAAGGAAATAGTAGGTAGACTTTAGAGGGATCTTTGTTTTGAGGTAGCAAAGCAATCCTCATTTATCAGAGGTAGGTTTAGTTTTAACTTTAATGTGACTTTATTCATCATTCTTGCAGAATGTGACCTCTAGTAATTTACTATATTTTATTCTGCCTTGCAAGTCTTGTTTTATTTTATTGTTCAAGTATGTGCTTATTGTGAGTTTAAAATAGAATAATATGTTAAATCAGACCTTTTGTTCTGTTATGATAGTTACATAGCAAGACTGTTTCTGCTAATGGCAATGATGATTTTACTGTAGTTGCTTGAAATATGGGCTGTTGGGAAATACAGTTCATAATGTAATGCTTGACTATTTTGTTTAGATTAACTTTACATCTGAAACTGTTTATGGATCTGTTATCTTTTACTTGTTTAATATTCTGTACCATTTATTACATGCAGGGTAACTTTATTAAAAAGAGAGAAGCGAATGGCCCTCACTTTCTACATTAAAACAAATTGCTATGAAAGAGTAAAGACATTAAAAGCAATGTAGTTAGTCACATAACTAAGATGTGTGTTTGAAGGAAAATCTCTTGCACCATATACATGCAAGATACCTCAGTGATATTTTCTTTGCTGTTCCTTTCCATTTCTGTCACTTCAGCATTATGCTAATTCTTTTTATAGTGGTAAGTGAAACGCTGTGGTTGCTGCTTAAGGAAGGTTGGGTCTGTATGCTGATATTTGAGATGAAGTCTGCATAGCTGTCTTTTTGAGCAAACAGAAGTGGTAATGAGACTACGTAATTATTTCTCTTAAAGTTGTCCTGTTCCCACCAGGAGGGCATTAACGCTGACTGTATTTCACAGCAGTGCTCCATTCAGTTATGAGACTGTGTCTTAAGGCATGAAGACTTTATGGAATGGTGTTGTAGATCAAGTGTTGTAGACCAAGCTTGGTTCACACTGAAGGGCAGACTGGAACATCTTCAAATGCTATTTAAAGTTAGCTTTTAGATATCTGTGGTCCAGCATTTTTGCCATCTGGTGCCAACAAGAAATCTTCCAAGTCTGTGATAAGTTCTGCCAGAGTTATATGAGCTGCAGAATACGTGGTGTTTCCTTTCCTTTTGTAAGCTGACCCTCACTTTGTATTTCCAACAGCTTTACTCGCTCCAGAACAAATTGATTAAATTGTTAAGAAAACTAAGATTTAGGTTTCTTCTAGAGTCTGTAGGGATATAATCTGGACATTTTTAATGAAACTCTCACAACTGTATCAAAGTAAACTTAATAATTGAGTGTGTTTGTGCCTAGGTAATTGTAGAAGCAACCATAATTGCAATTCTCTAACCTTTCTGTCCTTGTAAAAGTTAGTGATTTACAGTCTCCTTTGATATCTTTCATTTTCCATTTTTTCTTTCCATCTCTTCTTTTTTTATTCTTAGGTCATTGGTCAGAACTCGATTTGAATGGATGAGTATGGCCTAGCTGATAAATCCCATAGTTGCTTTTCATATGCTAGAGGCTGTGGTGCAGCCAGGGTCAAGATCGTAGCAGTCAAGCTATTTTTTTTTTTTTTTCCTCCAATGCCCTCTGCATAGCTTGAAGATCCTGACTGATACAGAATTCACTTTTAGATTCCTTGGTAACTACATCTGGCAATGTTTTTATGAAGCACCATGTGTACAGGAAAAAAATACTGCTATGTTACTGGGTGCAAAAAACAGCCTACAAATATTAACTTAAATCTGTTTACTCATTTACTTTCTCCTGGCTAATGTATTTTTGCCTTTTGACCCTGTGCTCGCGATCAGAAATTCAAGTTGCTTACATTTGTGAATGTAAGATAGAGTAACTGTAAAATGGTTTTGTAAGGAAGAGGGCACCAGACTGATCTCTGTGCAGTTCATGTGGGCAGGGCAATGAACTTGATGTAACTGATAATAAAACACTGGTCTTCAAAAGTGGTAAATTGCCAAGTTCTGTGATAGGCGTTACTTGATAGAAAAGCCAATCAAATCTTTTTTATTAAATCCTTATTAAACATTTGGCTAGCAAAATAATGGTAGTAT